CCTCAAATAGCAAAATATGTGTTTGAAGAACATTTCCCCATCGATGATTTTCGATGAAATGCATTGTACTCGATTTTACAACGCATTTCTTGAAATGCCTGTAAACGGTGAAAATTTGACCTTTGACCTGACCTGTGACGTCATCGGTTTGACCTAGGTCAATAAAATTGGGTCACAAGGTAGTTCCCCGTTGGGGCTATCCAACACCGTTTGCCGCTTGTCGCTAGGTTGCGTGGTTCTCGAGATCTTAGGGGGGGGGGGGCAAAATGCCCCCCCCCCCCAACAGGGCGCGTTGCTCGGCAGAGCCCAACGGGGCGCGGGTTAAAATGCGTCCTGCTACGAATTTACAAGTCAATACCACCTTATTACTTCAGCATTATGCCATATTATCTGATCTGCAATGGCCCTGGTGCCATTTAGGCACTGGCACGGGCATTGGGAAAAAGTCATATGAGGTCATGTAAGGCCATTTATAGTTTTTTTTTCTCTCCATTAATCCCGATGTGATGGTGCTAAAGACTTGTCATTGGTATCAAACTGCTTGCCTATTCTTGACTTGACTGCTTTGAAGCATGACCCTCTTGGGTCCTACCGGCCCTCGACATGAGGTCAGATTTTGACGTTGACCTTTCAAGGTCACCGAAAACATGCTTCGAACCGTCTTGATAAGAGGGACACGATACTGCCAATTTTATGTCTCATTTTATTAGTTCAATACAAATAAAACGAAAAGTTACTTTCTTCAGAACATTTTATTTTTGATGACCTCAATATGACCTCAACATATGACCTGATATATGACTATGACAACAATATATGAATATATGACATATTTTTGACTCCTTGCATACCTCAACACGGTAGTGAGGTTCATGCCACATATGTTTTACCTTGCTAGAGCAATCGCTGTGGCATTTCAAAAAGCTCTGAATAAAAAAAGAAATTATCGTCAGAGTTGCTTCCAAATCCAGCTTACTTATGAACCTACTTATATTTTTATCATTAGGTTAAACTTGTTTTAGCATTCACAATTCACATATTATTGAGCAGGAGCTTGTAGTTCAGATGTGATCCACCATCATTGGTTCTGAATAACATCCAGGTGTTTTCCTCGCCTGTTTAGGGAACCAATCACTCGCATAAAATATTGATTATCTCTTAGCTCTTTTGCTCTCACTGCCAGCGAAAACTAAATAAATATGCATGTTTTTGACGTTTTTACCTACCATTGAAAATTTAAGCTGATTACAACTCAACGGTTTAATTTAATTATATTCTATTATGGTCGTAATAAAAACAACGACAGCACCTGCACCAATTCCTCTGATCGGTAATGCGCCTTTCAACAGAATCACACAGAAAAACCAACCTTCTGTCCAAGCTTCGATGGTTTGAAAGGTTTCTTCTGCAAGATCGGGATTTTTCTGACAGGCGGCTATAAAAAATTGACAGCTGTGAACACAAGAGAAGCGCTTGGAGAACTTCATCCGCAGTAACAGCACAGCTGGAGGGTGTCGCATCAGTCTGTTTTGTCTTTGGCTGACGTCAGTTCCACGAGTGAAATGCGACGCTATGCCCGCTAGCTAGACAGTAGGTAGGTACGACCCAGGCACTAAAGAGCTGTACGACCTCTGATGCACTACACAGGCACTGGGATCTACCGTGCCTCCCTGTGACGGTTTATGGTGGTGTATTCGAGGAACGAGATTTTCTGCGGTCCTGGGTGTCCCATGTGCCCCTATGGTGATTTATGGTCATTTATTCGCCGTTGCGTCTGGGATATCTTAGCCACTGACGGATGGCTTTAAAATTAGTTCACTGAAGGTGGCAGCCGTGAACCGAGCACATGTTTCATAAAGCACATTTATGAGTTAAGCACAATGGGGTCGTTGGTGCCTAATAACCTGCAAAGTAGAAGAAAATTACAGAGCTGCTGTATAAATCGTTCACCTTAACAACACGGAAATGATACGTGCGCTGGGTTGCCCGGGTCGGCCGCTCCTGCCGGCCGGCCGACACATATTGGGGCGGCAGCGGGGACGGTGACTGGCAGCCGAGTGGCCTGCGCTCCTCAGATTGGTCAGCCAGCGTGGCCCCCGGTCCGCAGATTGGGTCAGCCAGGTCCGATCGATGAAGGCCGGCCCCGGCGGACTGGGGAGCGGCCGCCGACCGGCAGAGGTCGAGGGTCAGCCGCCCGGCGACGCACCCTTCCGGTCACCGAGTCTCCGACACTCGCGCTTCCTGGGTGCTGAGCGCTAAGCAATCCTTCCTGCCACTGAGCCACTGGGCTCCACTTTCCCGGTTCCGAGACTCCCAACAGATATTTCCTTGGGATGAGCCACTCGACAGTCCCCCGGTGAGAGGCTCTCATCAACCGTTTGAGCTGGATGGTTTAGCTATATAACCTTGAAACTGCCCCTGAGCAGAGGTCTGGCTTCCTGACTACTGCCAAGTCGGGGCTGGCCCCACTCCCACCGCCAATATGTCTAGGCGGCAGCCGACCTCACCCGTATAAACGCGCCCCCTTCGACCTCCGCACCGGTCTCAAAGAGAACTCTCGGCCGGCCGTCAACCGTGCTTTCACGGTGCATTGTTACGTAAGTCCCGGTCAAGTGCGACTGGAAAGCCATTGGTGCGCGCTGGTGCGCCCGCGTGGGCGCAATGTGAGCTGACGGCGGCTGATGGCTCGTCCGCGCTTGGTGCGCAGCTCTAAGCTCTGATAGCTGCCACAGACGTAAAAACCCTGCCGGAACTCTAAATAAGAGTACAGGGGAATTTACTTATTAAGCTATCAACTCAGTCATCTTAAAAATGCAATGTTTCGTAAATTGCTTTGGTGATTCAGATGCCGTTTTAGCACAAACGTTCAGGCGGATCAAGTGCCTTTTTACATAGTGCTTCATCCATTGACCTCTGTACACCTGTGTCCTGTGTACAGAGGTGTATAGGTCTATGTTTCATTCTCACCTGCTTTATTCTATTTTCATGCTTTATGCTTTGTTGTAATAGATTCTTTAACTTGCGTTTTGTAACTTGCGTACAGAGGTGTATAGGTCTATGTTTCATTCTCACCTGCTTTATTTATTTTCATGCTTTATGCTTTGTTGTAATAGATTCTTTAACTTGCGTTTTGTTTTAGTGGGTACCTATTTAAGTGTCAGAATATGTACTTCTTGATTGTCGTATCGCGGTCGAAGTATTTTCAAGTAAATATTTATAGAACCATATCTGCCTAAGTGTCCTTAGTTCCTTCCTTTACAACGCAGGAGGATGACTTTTGACTTGAAATGATTAATTTGCTAGAAAGTAGCCACAGTTTTCGTTCATGCGCCAGGTAAAACTACCAATGCATATGTTTGGCTATGGAAACGGAAATTCTTTTGGCTTTATCATCTCACGATAGAACTTCGCACTCTGTTGACGTCATTTTGATACATGGATATTAAGCAGAAACCACAAATCTTCGAAGAATTGTGTGGCTTTGCTGGTGAAAAAAATGATGTAGCCTCCTGATGTCAGACTATCGCATGTATTTATTTGAGCGGCCGCTGTTGGGTTTTGACGCTACGACCTCGCACATCTCTCCGCCTCTGCCATGGTGTTTCCGATTGCCTCCTGTCCGTCCTGCCTCCCTGCCTGACCCGACCACCCCTCCCCATGTCGGGGTCCGATCCTGCGGTAATTGCCGATCACCTCCGAGGAGGCGGCAGCGGCGGCGGCGGCGGCGGCGCCACGCGGCCGACGGGCCGGCCTCAACTGGCTGCAACGATCCGCGCCCGCCAGCTGGCAGATAATCAATGCCCGCGGCCGGACGGGACGGCACCGGCCGCCGGGCCAGAGACGGACGCCACGCCGCCGGGCGGAAGAAAGACGGCGAGAGACGGAGACTTTTAGCAGGCAGGAGACGGGGCAAGTTACGGACGGGAGACGGACGCGACGCCGCCGGGCGGAAGAAAGACGGCGAGAGACGGAGAGTTTTAGCAGGCGAGAGACGGGACAAGTTACGACCGCCGGGCGGGAGATGGCCGCGTACTGCAGCAGGTCGAGAGATGGAGACTTTTAGCAGACGAGAGAAGAGACGCGAATGGAATGGACAGTGGACACGATGGTAGACGGCCGCGCCGCTTGCGGCTGCCGGGCGGCAGGGGCGCTGATGGTGCTGGGGACTAAGGTAAACGAATGAATATACATTACATATGTAGTTACAGATACGCGGACGGAGACTAGGAAACGGAATGTTGATGACCGTGCAGTCATGTCGGTTCACTTTGAATGTTTGCCAAAAATTAGTAGTATATGTAGATGTGTCTGCCTAAATGCCCGAAGAGCGGCAGGTGACGTCATGACATAAAAGTCGATGCGACATCGAAAAGCCTCCGTGTAAGCACGTCTCCACTGGGCCTTTGTACGGTGGTGGATGATTCGGTTTCCCGTCTCCGCCTACGGTCAACTACGGAAATGACATTACCTTCCGTGGACTATGATCTTATTGTGCGGCTACCGAATCAAATGTCGCCGGGCGGGTCGGCAGTCGATACAAGGAGCCTTCACAGACTATGGAGACAGCGACCAAAGGATCAATTGATTGCGAACGACATGGCAGCCTCAATTTCAGCAGTGGATCAGAAACACTGCGATGGAGGCGATGATGCGACGTTGCGACGATATGTTTTAGCTCGTATCCGATCCGCAGACGGGGAGAGAGATCTGCATTCTGCAGTGTACTTGGTGCAGTTTCCGATCGTGCAGCAGTTACGTATGCAGTATGAACACGAGCAAATTATTTTTTCTAGTGAATATGAACAAAATTTTATCCTAGGCTCTTTGCAGGACGTTATATAAATATTTCTTAACATCCTAGTTTCAGGAGCATTTAATGTCGCTGTGAGTGTATTAACATCTCATTCCGTTTTTTACCCTCCTTCCTATATTTGCTCTCTTGCTGTTGCTCTTTCTCTCGCTCTCTCCCTGTTTGACCACCCCTCTCCCCCCTCCCTCAGATCCGGCGGCGGCGGACGGCAGACGGTCCGCCATGGAGAAGGTCTCGGAGAAGACGGGCGGCAGTCAGACGATCCGCATCCCGGGCGACATCCCGGCACCGAGCGGCGGCAAGTTCCGCCAGTGGGTGCGAGAGAACCTGCTGCTGGTGCTGACCGTGCTCGGGGTGTTCAGTGGCTCGGCTATCGGCCTGCTGGCCAGACAGACCGAATACTCGGACGAGGTGGTGCTGCTCGTCGGGTTCCCCGGCGAGCTGCTGCTGCGCAGCCTCAAGATGCTCATCCTGCCGCTCATCATATCGTCGCTGGTCTCAGGTGAGTGTGACGTCATATCACTCGCTGGTCTCAGGTGAGTAGGACGTCATATCACTCGCTGGTCACAGGTGAGTGTGACGTCATATTACTCGCTGGTCACAGGTGAGTGTGACGTCATATCACTGGCTGCTGCAGACTCTAGCGTGAGTGTACTACATATGGGTGCTGCTTATTTTATTAGTCGTCTTGGGTAAGTGTGATTTGAGCATCGCCTTCCCTGGTGGCTTGAACACAGGTGTCCTGTGCGCTTCGCACTGTAAACAGCCCATTATCTGTAAAAGGAAACAATCACCGACATATACAAGTACATCATGATCTGACATACAGTCCTGTACCAAATGTGGCATATATAATCGTTTTCCTCAGTTTAGACTTTGCGCTTTATTGCAGCGATGCAAAACAAAACATTCGCAATCTAGAAAATGAGAAAAAGAAAAAAACTTGACTTATCTGCCAGAAGCTTCGGTTTCATTTCGTTTGCTTTCCTGGATTGCTCCGAGTTGTATGAGTGATGAAAGAGATCCGATGAAAACAGAGCCGAAATGGTTTCCGGTTATTTGGGAGAGATCCGGCAGCCTCTCCTTTCAGATGCTCTCAGCTCTGCGGGAATTATTCTCTCCCCGTCCGTCTGAGAATCCAGTGGCTATTCCTTGGGATGATGATTATTCGCGCCCGCAGTTTCCGCGTCGCAGCGCGCTGGACCAAGTGGGATGGTTTTTTATATTTTTTGTTTTTTGTTTTTGTTTTGCTCACGATAAAGATGATAAATAAATTGTAACCACACTTAACACTATATCATAAGTTATTGTAAGTGCTGTGTGGCCAGTAAGCAGTAAGCACTGGGACCTGCAATATCTCTAGAAATGCAAAGGGACAGCTACATCTTACAAAAGAGGGCATCTTAGGAATTACGGCCCGTTGCGTCAACCATCATAGGTCAGTAAGCAACAAGATTCAGCTGTCAATTCAATACACCCTTTAGACATGAGGCTGGCTGCATTACGAAAGTAAATTAATAGGCAGTCCAGATCCGGCGATCCCCCCCCCCCCCCTGTCGCGGAGCCTCTGAGTCTGGACCCGTCTAACCGATGCAGCGTTTACCTACATCAGCGCGCTGATGGGATTGGGATTTGAGATACGCTGCGGCACAGTATCCCCCAGGCGCTGAATGCTAGTGGCATCTAGCGGCAGTGATAAGAAATAGCAGAGTGTCTTGCGGCACAGTATTTGCCAGGCGCTCTATGCCAGAGACATCTACCGGTAGTGGTACGAATAACTGAGTGTCTTGCGGCACAGAGGTTTGCCAGGCGCTCTACGGTAGTGACATCTAACGGTGGGAATATGGAATACCAGTAAGTGTCTTGCGGCACAGCGTCTTTCAGGGGTCATATACTAGTGACATCTAGCGGCAAGCTTATGAAGTAACAGCGAGTGTCTTGCGGTACAGCATTCGCCGGGCGCTATATGGCAGTTACGTCTAGCGGCAACAACGTGAAACAGAAAGTGTTTTGCGGCACAGCATGTCAGGCGGTATACGCTGAACGGGACAAGCGCCCGGTCTACCGAAGCTGTGGTGTCGACCGCGCAGCCGTTTGGGTAAAACATCCTCTAGCGGTAGGAATGTAACATTTTTATTGAGTGTTTTACAGTTGCGGCACAGCATTTGTCAGGCATTTTATGGCAAAAACATCGAACAGGGGACACAGGGCATATTTTAAGGCACTTGCTGCGTCCCATTCTGGGACGCAGCCCCCTCGCCTTGGGATGTAGCCCCTGCTGATTTGACCCACTGCGTCCCTGCCCTGTGCCCTGTCCGGTTCCCTGACCTGTGCCCTGCTGTGTGCTCTAACCTGTACCGTACCCTTCCATCTAAAATGTCCTGTGCCATGCCCCTGTAACCTGCCGTGCCCTACTTTCTGCCCTCCTCAGTGCCCTACTCTGTTCCTTGCCCTGTGCCCTTAGTCGTAGCACGTGCCCTCTGCTCAACTTTGGGACGCAGTAAACATGTGTTAAAATATGCCCTCGGGGACAAGCGACACACATTCGATTCCTGTGGCACAACATTTTTCAGGCGCCATCGCCAAACAGCTAGTCTTGGGACAAATCATTTGCAAGATCATAAGCTGTGAGTGTGACTTTTGAAGCTTGTGTCTCTGTGCACCGTTTGTCCTTGTGACTGTGCGCTATTTAGGTAACCATATATGTGTCCTCTGTGTGACCCCTGTGACCTCTGTGAGCCCTGTATGATCCCTGTGTGACCTTGATGACGTGTGGCCACCTACAGGACTGGCGTGTCTGGACGCCGGCGCCTCGGGCAAGATGGGCTCGCGGGCGCTGCTCTACTATTTTTCCACGACCATCATGGCGGCGATACTGGGCATCACCGTGGTGGTGGTCATCCACCCGGGCGACCCGAGCAGCTCTGGTAGCCAGCAGGAGCAGAATGCCTCCGGTGACTCCGGGGACGGCGACAACAACGTCATGGACGCCCTGCTCGACATCATCAGGTGACGTCGGACTCTGGGCACCGCACAGTTCAGCAATACGAGCATACGAGTATGACAAGCTCGATGACAGACACTTCGTGCCTATATAGACGTAATTAATTGAAGGATGTAATTATAGACGGCTTGCTCTATAAAGAATATGAGTAGGTTAATATTGAATTGAGATATGATAATCTAAATAGTACGCAGATATTTAACGCGGGTCTTATTTTCAGGAACATGTTCCCAGACAATTTGATAACAGCCTGCTTCCAATCAGTGAAGACAGAAGCAAAATTGGTAAGATGATCGACTATATATGTATGTAGAATATGTAGAATATGTGAGCGTGAGAGAGAGGGGAAAGAAAGCGAGAGAGAGAGAGAGAGAGAGAGAGAGAGAGAGAGAGAGAGAGAGAGAGAGAGAGAGAGAGAGAGTCCTAGCCCTGCGCGCTGTTTACCTGTGCCCGTCCCGCCTGTCCCTGCTGTATGTGTTGCGCCGCCGGCGGAGACCGGAGGCGGTACTGTCACGTTATTGTCTCAGCACGGGCGGCAGTGGGACGGGTAGTTTCCGGCTGTCGGGCGACACAGCGGCTACACAGCCGCCGGAGACGCCTCCGAGGACGGTACCAAGCGAGATTTGTGTGCTCAGTCTGCCGGCCCGGAGACAGGCCTTTCCGACGGCAGAACGTGGGGGGGGGGAGGGGATAGACGAGGGGCAGGGGCAGGGAATATGGATGCAATCGTTGGCCGTAGTAACGATCAGTCCTACGCCAATATTGTATTGCTGCGGGCGAGTGTTTGAGCTATCTCATGTTTGTGACTTTTCTTGAGCATTTGCAACGCTTACAATATATCTCGGAGCCGACCTTTGATGATCTAGCATGAACTGTCTGGCGTATGTACCTTTCTGTTCTGAGATTTGGTCTGCCTTACTGTGATCTGTCATGCCTCAATGTCACCTTCCGCGACCCACTACCATTGTGACCTGATACATATACCATTCCTAATTATGACCTGCCTGTCTCATTACGAATTACCGCGCTCCACTGTGACCTGATCTGCCCCACTGTGACCTGACCTGTACCACCTCAGGTGAATAAGACAATCGGTGAGGGCGCCGATCAGCGGCAGGTGACCAAGGTGCAGCGGGACCTCGTGGTCTCGGACGGCACTAACGTCATGGGTGAGTGACGCGATTCTTTCGGCGCTCTTACCAATAACGTACTGAGTAACTATCCATTCCTACGCAGTGCTGACTAGTCGGGCGAGTTGTTGGACGAGTTGTTGGACGAATGACAATGAAGATGTAACTTATGAGAGAACATGTATTCGATAAATGATAAAGGTAATTTGGGTGTATACTCGATCATTTTGATTCCATAGCTGAAAATCTCAAGTTTGTGCTGAAGTGCGAGAGCTGGAGTGACCTCACTTTGGATGGCTACAATTTCAGGTCTGATCATCTTCTGCGTGGGCTTCGGCCTGATCGCCGGCCAGATGGGCCCCCAGGGCAAGCTGATGGTGGACTTTTTCCTCATCCTGAACGAGATCACTATGAAGATGGTCTGCATCATCATGTGGTGAGTCTCACAATACGGGCCTGTCGATAAGCAGATCATGATCGTTACTTGGATTCACCGGGGATTTACCACTGGGCTTCTCATTACTCTTGGTTAAATTAGAATTCACCCAACAAAAGTATGCTCGTTTGCGTGGGTCGACGAACCAGGATATTCGGGATTGAAGTAATTTTAGCCGGATAAAACCAGACTCGCGTATCCGGGTAGTGACAAAAACTTGCGGCAGACGCGTGTTGGATTAAAATCCAGTCCTGGGTATTTATCGGTACCTAATAAAAGACAGAAACTCAATAAGAATATACGGATTCACTTGAATTGAGCAGAGTGGAATCAACTCGAAAAACTGATGCCGGCTGCTGCGACTGTTGAGTATGCTTATCTTTCCTCCGACCAGTAGCATATAAAACATTCATTATATGTCAACGTTGCACAATACTGACCCCCTTTTCGCGCCGGCCAGGTACTCGCCATTCGGCATCTGCTGTCTGGTGGCCGGTAACCTAATGGCCATCGATAACCTGGCCGATACGGCGCGCAGCCTGGGCATGTACATGGCCACGGTGGTCACCGGGCTGCTCATACACGCCACCGTCTCACTGCCCATGGTCTACTTCTGTGTCACGCGCAAAAATCCGTTCAAGTTCTGCAAGGGTATCGTTCAGGTATGACTGCTTGGTTATAGCGTTAATTTTACCGATATTGCGGTAGTGAGTGAGTAAGTTGTAATCTAATGGACCAGATGTTGAGATTTGTCACTGTCGAGGGTTGTGAATAGTAAGCTGAAGCTAATCTCGCTCTGCAATATGCGCTCATATATTCAAAGTCGGCAAATTATGGTTATGATGACGCTCATCTGGTATCGGCTTCCAGGCATGGGCTCTGGCTCTGGGCACTGCCTCCAGCTCTGCCGCTCTGCCCATCACCTTCCAGTGCCTGGAAGTCAACAACGGACTGGACAAACGCGTCACCAGGTAAGGATTTCTCGCCAGACATCATCTACCCACCGCCCAAACTCGACGGCTGGCTACCCAGGCAAACCACCTAGTCTGTCGCGGAGAGGCGACCCAGTTCACACTTCCTCCTCTAGCGGCTTAGGCTGGTAATACGACCTCAGGTTGCATTTTCTCTTTTCATCTCAGTAGTATCTCTTAGGAAGTCATTTCCTCTTTTCCCTGCTTCTTCAACTTCATCAACTTGCACTTGCCGCGCCCCTTCAGGTGGCTTAGTCGTTCAGTCTCTTAAACATTCTCGCTGATAAACCAATGGTCATCACTGAAAGAGACGCACACTTACGTGATATGACAACATCTGCGATCCGCGTCGCTATATGCGGATGTAATACGTATGTGTGCCGTCTATTGTAATACAATGATAGTGTGTGCGGTGCACTTCTTATTGATTACGTTTACTTATGCTAGCACTCAGGACCGATCATGACCATGATCGTTTGTAAGAGACAAATACGTGCAATGTAGCGCACGACGTCGTAAGTAAATATTCCCAGAGTAAAGGGAGGTGACTGGTAAGCATCCACGGTAACTTCCGTTCGGCATCCCGCTCATACCCCTGGCCGAGCAGACCAAGACAAAGGAGTTGGCGCATTGGATATCGGTAAAATCCAGATATGTAGAGTCCGGAGTCCGGACTCGGTAAATGAGTAAATGAGATAATATGAGGCTGTTAGAAATGAGTAGCGGCTCGGTGGCTGGTAGTCCTTCTGTATGAGATTGGCAGACTTTCGGAATAGTTATGCAGATTAGGGTGCTGACTACTGCCAGACTTCAGGGAAGTAAAAGTCAGCATAATTCTAAGCACATAAGAGAAGACTGTCTTTGATAGCCCACCGGACTGATAGTGTAGTGTATAACCCTTCTGTATAGTTAGAGAAAGTCTCTCTGTTGTAGTGAAGAAGAGTCTTTAAAGCATCTCTCAAATAAAGTTAAGCAAAAAATGCGACCTCCGTGACAGCCGACGGCACTCTGTGGATGGAGTACCTAAGTGCACCATGACGGCTTCAGGTAGCCGTGAGCTAAATAAAAGCATGGTCAATCGTGCTGTCGAGAATGCTCTGTGCCAGTCGGCCGAACTCCACCGAGTAGTTTCGCTGTGTCAGTCGGACAGACTCGGCAGAGTGCCTTTTCTGCGGCCGTCGGCCGCCGCTGAAGTGGCTCCGCCTGTCGCGGCGTATGGCCGGCGGAGTCGGCGACCGAAGAAGCCTGCGAGCCGGCGCCGCTCGAGCCGGAGATTGGTATTGATCGCGCCAGATAACTGGCCTGATCGGAGGCGGCGGTCCGGCGGAGACCGGCAGTGTTACCTGAACGGGAGAGCGGCGGGAGGAGAGGGAGAGAGAGAGAGAGAGAGAGAGAGAGAGAGAGAGAGAGAGAGAGAGAGAGAGAGAGAGAGAGAGAGAGAGAGAGAGAGAGAGATAGAGAGAGAGAGAAGAGAGAGAGAGAGAGAAGCGAGTTATGAGGAACAGCAGTGCTGGCTTTTGACAGCATATTTTTTATTTCTTCGAGCATATTCGCTATTTAGATACCATATTCGCTATTTAGGTACCTATTTATATTTAGGTTTTATGAGCTTAAGCTTTTATATTTAGGTACCTACAGCTTTGTATTCCCGGAGACTCATTCCGTCGGAAAGTTACGATCTTTGATGCGACTCTTGTCGTTTTATTTGCGTGGTGTTTTATGTCTGAATGTTTGTCCCCTCCTTCGTCATGTTTGCGAAGCCTTGTGTGTGCCTGACTGTTTGACCCTACTCCGTCAGCTTTGTTCTGCCGGCCGATGTTTTGTGTTTGACTGTGTGATCCTTTTCCGTCAGATTTGTTCTGCCGGTCGGTGTTTTGTGTTTGACTTTTCGCTCCTTTCTCCGTCAGATTTGTTCTGCCGGTCGGTGCTACAGTCAACATGGACGGCACAGCACTGTACGAAGCCGTCGCATCCATTTTCATCGCACAGAAGAACAACATGAACCTCAGCATCGGCGGCCTCATCACCGTTAGGTAAGGCTGCTCAGGCTACTTTGGGCCGCAGTGGAAAGCAATGGGCTTCCTTGTGGGCTTTATGGGCATCTACAGCAACCTGTGACCTGATTTGTAAACCCGTGACCTGATTCGCTGACCCGTGTCTCCTCCGGCAGCCTGACGGCCACGCTGGCCTCGATCGGCGCTGCCTCGATCCCGTCAGCGGCGCTGGTCACCATGCTGCTCATCCTGCAGGCGCTGGGACTGCCCACTCACGACGTGGCCCTCATATTCACCGTCGATTGGCTCCTGTGAGTAGACCTGTAGACCATTTGTGACGCTACGGATTAGCTATAGTGAGAACACGAATAGGCTCTCTGTGACCGCGATCGATGGTCGCCAGTAAGTACAGTCCACAGCAGACGTAATGTGGGGTTTCAGTCATGGGTATGTTCTGCTTCTGAAGCTTAGGAACGATTAACCAGACTACAATGAAACTTTGAATGTAGCTTATATGTATCGTCACCCTTGCAGCTGCAACTTTAGCTATTGACATCTTCTTTTCGATCACTCCGCATTAAACAATCGCCAGTCAACGCCAACCGTTGAGATTGGTAAAACCCTACATTACTTTAGCGGTGGGCTGTACGTATGTACATTGCCTACTACCTTATACGATAGGGCCGCTGTCTCGTGCAAGTAAGTGCTTACATACATCGACCACTTCTTACGATAGGCTGGCTCATATAACATGTGAGTAGGTATCTCTAGTATCCAATGCGTATTCCATCCACTCATGGTATGACTCCTCTTTAGAGAAGGCTCGTATCCAATTTCGATATCGTTTATTGAAGGTAGAATGGCATTGGAGTTGCACAGTGCACTCGCATTCACGCTCTTTACTACATAAGCTAGTAGATACTAAATATGATCGTAAGTAATATCACGTGCCCACGAAAGATCAGTTAATGTAAGCAACCGTCGCATTTGATACATCTATCATAAATTCATATATAAGACTAAATTTACCTCATAGGATTTTGGAATATCAATCAGTAAAGTGTTTTCATGTGTTGGGGTGTTGCTATTGCTTGAGACTTGATCCAAAGCTAATATAAGCAAATTATTATCTCGTATGAACCATATACGGCGAACTTTTAAGCTTTAAAGATGCTTTACTATTTTCTCAGCCCTGCATTGTTTACAGCGTGTCCACGTGCCAGTCATTTTCTCGGTAATCGCTTACTCTCCCGGCTGACGCAAGCCGTTATTTTGTTCATAACGTTGTTATGCTGTCGTTGGGGATATTTGCCTGGATCGGTTATTGGATGAGCCCGTCTAGCTCATATAGCGACAGCATACCGAATTATTGGGAAAGCGGTGTGAGCTACCAACATTTTAGCTACTGGTCCTGGTAACCTGACCGGTATCTGTTAGTCTGATGATCGGGGCCGTCCCTGAAATCTTATACCTAATTGGTCCTATCTCATCTGCACGTTAGGTGACCGACTAAATTTTCCTATATTCCTGGCGATTTGTTCTGGTGACCAGTGATCTCTTCAATGTATGTATATTTCCTGTGATGAACCTGACCTTCTCTCTAACTCTAACTTATGTCCAATTACTTTCCCTAACCCTAATTCTAGCCACGAATATGTCTGGCGACGGGCTGCCATATTCAACGATATGTGTAGTGGCAGCTCTAAATACAGTTTCATCGATGGGCCTGACCTCCTCAGCCGCGTTCATCGATGAGTGGTGAAGGGCCTGACCTGTATAAAAAAACATCATCATATGCATCGATTTGTGTGGCAATAGTTCAAAATTAAGTTAAATTGATATGTCTGGTGATCGGACTGAGCTCCCCATATTTACAGTGACCTTTGTAGATGGTCTCTGTGACCCCCTGTTCGCTCTCTCCAGGGACCGTATGCGGACGTCCATCAACGTGCTGGGCGACGCGTACGGCGCCGGGATCGTGCAGCACCTGTGCCGGGACGAGCTGGCTCGTATGGACGCCGAGGCGGAGCGGCGCGACCGCGAGATGGCCGAGATGCTGCGCAGCGGCAGCGTGGCACTGAGCGGCGGCGGCCGCGGCTCGCTGCTGCCCCGCGGCTCCATCTGCCCCTCAGTGGCGCCCAGCGGAGCCATGCTGCCGCTGCGGCCGACCGGCGCCCTCTCGCCGGCCGAGGACCGGCCGCCGCCCCCCGCCCCCGGCGCCGCCGCCGCCAGGAACAGCTGGTTCGAGAAGCGTATCCCCAACTCCGAGACACAGATTTGAGGGGTGACGGCGGCCATCAAGGGAGGAGATGTTCCCTCACAGCTGACGGAAACTGCGGACATCGATGGATTCGCCCACAGCGATTGGCCAGGTGGGCTTAATACTGCAGAGCTGATGAGAGTTTATGTCGCAGTACAGGCCGGTGCTTCGACAAATAACACTGTGGTCCTGGGGCAGACTGACTGTCCGTTGTGTCTACAAACGTCGAGGCACACTGGGAGATCAGTGTGATTGTACGGCATGAAAGGGGGATGTGAGGATGGTTGTCAGAGCGGTAGACGTATTTTGTTCATGAAGAGGGTCCGTAGACATTTTCCGCACATTCCACAGACAGGGTTAGAGACGTGTGGTACAAACAGATAGATATATCGTTCATTGGTTACCGTTTATTCCTAACTCGGCGCAGTCCGACGCGTGTGACTGTGTACGCATGTGGATGTCCATATGTCTGTGTTTACTTGGTGGTTTATGAGTGTTGGGATGGGCTAATCCTAGCACAGCCCTGCCCTCATATCTGTGAGATGTTGGCAACTCTTGACGTCTGGGTCGGGCCGGGGCGGGGCGGGGAGGCACCAGACCTGCTGGCCCGTCAGGCTGCTGGCCGCCTCAGTAGATGGCAGCACCGGTAGGCCGCGGGCCGCAACATCCACACAGGGACTTCCACAAGGCTTGCTGATGTCTGGACGGGCCGGCGGGCCGCCTGCGGTCGCCGGCCCTCCGCTGTAGCCTAGAGCTCGGCCGGGTCGGCCCGGCCGGCTGGTGGGCGGCTCTCCCCGCTCGCTGCCGCTCCGGGCCGCCGGCTGAGCACGCTCTCTGTTAGCTAAGTCCTCCTCCCGTCTTGCTGGTCGGTTGTTGAAGGCAGGTCAGACGCGCCGCCGCCGCAGGGTGCAGCGCAGACCGCTTCGGCGTCGTGCTGGGCAGCTCTATATTCTTCTCTTCTTTCTCTCTTATCTGTCCTATCTTCCTCACCTCGCACTGTTTCTCTCCCTCCATCTCTCACGCTCCCCTCTCTCTCCTTCGCACGGTCGATGTTATTGCATGCTCTGAGGCAGGTCTGTTCTCGCAGTACGTGTGATCAGATCAGTCGTCTAGTGTGATTCAGTGTTGTGGACCTGGCTGAATGTCTGTTTGTCTGCCTGCTGTTACGTACAGCAGACATATTTGTCCCACAGGACGGTGTTGTGGAAATCGTACATGTGAATTGTGATTGCTGATCCAACTCGTCGCAGAAATCTCGTCGATCGCCCTCAGCCAACCTGGCTGGGGCGTTTTTATAGTGTTTACTGTTGACCTTTTGTAGCTGTTTTATAGGACGGGCTGCTACTGGATTTACAGCCCGCCGATAGCCAAAAGTAGGGTGCACGTCTCGGATGGAGAGCTGTGCCTTGTCCGTAGGTCTTATGGTGAAAATTGTTATTATTTTTCTGGTCGGCTATTGGTTTTGACGGCATTATTAAAACCTGAATCCGTACATTTCAGTATAGCCCTTGGTTTCGCGTCTGGTTTTCCTTGAAACTTCATTCAATCTTTCTGATTTTTTAAACGATTATGTTAGTAATATTTAATTGTTATACTTGTTGTTCCGTGGTGTAGCGTTGATATACACGTTGATAGTTTTCATAATAATGAGAATTTAAGGTTAAAAACTGTTTTCCTAATTAATTTAAGCGTATTTTATTGTGATTTTCTTGTTTACTAAATAGCTTCTCGTATGACATGTTAAAGAAAAGTTGTCTTTTATATGTGTGTCAATATTATTTTAATACTTTTTTAAGGATTCGATCTTTATTTAAAAGATTTATCGTAGGCCTATTTTTATGCTGTAAAATAATCAAATCCCGTTGACAATATTATGGTTAGGTACCTGGTAAAACTTTGGCGATGACATGTAGTCTTTCCCTTTGAAGAGTCTCCTTTTATATGAACGCATTACCGTTTAAAGGCACAGAGCCATGATGACAGTGACTCGAGCAAAATGCCTGACCTTATATTGTACATATTTACCTTTCACTTTCTGAGAGGGATAGACGTGCAAGGAAATTGTTGATTGGAGAACATATCGATTGAACTTGATACCGACCGTCTAAAATATCCTGTTCTGCGCAACTCGGTCCGACTTTGAGTTATCACCTTTAACCTTACCTTTGCTAGGTAAGGGGCTCATATCAGATACAGTATCGAATGTACGTAACGACACATATCGGTATGGACGCGTGACATCTTGTTTCCATTGTAGTATTTTTATAATATGCCTTCCATTCGTCGATGTACTACATATTTTATGTTTACAACATGGCTTTGAAGTGCTAACTAGTTTCTGTTTCATTCTTACCTATCAAATAATCATAATTTTGCGTGATCGAGGGTTGGAACTCAAAGGAAATAACTCACATTTGCATAAGTAAATATTTATTCCATCTAAATAACTCAATCATTTTGTGACGAGGTTAATCGTTTGTTTTAAATCTGAGACCTATGAACGACTGCTATAATTAAGAAATAAACGTTTGCGAAACAACTTTCGCCGTTAGGCATTTTCTTTAAAACGTTAATTGTTTGGTGTTTGTGGTTGTAAAAACTCCGCATTAAATTGTCTCAATCTTGGCATTTGTTCGTTTTTCACCTTTTGGTGATCACTAAAATATCTAACCAAGTGCGCGGATAGCCTCGTATTCGAGGCTCTTTCTATGTGCATATGTGCTTGCTGTACATGCTTACCTGTGCGCCAGTTCATCGCGCCGCGAGGTCACTTTGTGTCCGCTCTCCACCTGTCCCTCTGTTTCCCTTGTCTTTGATGTACGTTGACCGTCTGTATATGTACATATAGTGTGTGTCCGTCGGCCCGCGCGGCCGGGGCCGCCGCCGTTCGCTATCCTAGTTGTGTAGTCAGCAATAGAGTGTCGGGCACGGCGGACCGCCGCTCGCCGGTTGCCCAGTAGATGAGTGTCGTCCGCCGCCCGCGCAGAGCACATCGCACCGCACGCAGCACGCACACGTCGCGTACCAGCACCAGCACCAGCACCAGCACCAGCACCTGCACCAGCACCAGCGTCCGCCCTCTGAGAGCGCGCACCACGGCCGGTGCCGACGCCTCTTACGGCAGACGCCGCGCCGGCTAGTCATGCATGTATGTAGGTTTGTCGTTTTCAATACCTCGATCAGCACCGAGGTAATCTTGTCATCTTATGAAGTAGGATTTCCCACGCACGTCGCACAGTTGTTACATGGATTTAATGTGCGGCACTTGACTGAAAGGACATGCCATTGTACGCACAATGCACATAAATCATGATCACTGTTATTGAGTGCATACTGTCGTACCATGTTTGAAGCTCCGTGAGGTTAGGACACAGGTGAAAATTTTTTAAGTGAACCGAAACTATAACTGTGCAGCTAAATTCTCTCATTCTCTCCACGAAAGAACGGGTGCAGGGATATCTATGTTGTAACAACACCCTACAGTCAAGCACGGTGTTCCACCTTCCAAAGTGTCATTTTGAGGCCCAGTCGGTCAGCCCTTTTATTTCGGTAAAGTTTAAAGGCACCTCCAGGATGGATTGTGGAGGAGCTTTTCAACATGATGCTGCACAGTGTACCTACCGTTTTGTCATGTTTAATGTACATACAGCATATTGGGAGTGTCAAGTGATTATTATGTGTTGCACTGCACCTTGCACGAACGAAGTGTGAAATGAAGTCTGCTTGTGAGAGAGAAAGCTGATCGAAAATTGGCTGGCTAGCTTATCATGGACTGTTAGGCTATTGTATCCAAATTGCTGTATAAAAATAAGCGTCAGGCTGCTGCGAAATCTAACCCAATATTTGCGCAACGTGGGTGTCGTTGGTAACGTGAAATTGGATGTCAAGCGCCACGTCGACTTTACGAAAGAGTAACGTGTCCTGCACCATACACATCAACATGGATGAAATGTCAAGCGATGGGTGTTGTGTGCACAAATATGCGTGCACCGCTGTTTGTGCGCAGTACATGGGCGTTAGTTGAGCGAAGCTAGCTGCACAAACCGGATGTGCTCTATGCTGCAGTCTCTCCACAGGGCGCTGCGTCGCCCCGGCTGTACGGAGCCGGGACCAGCTCCGCGCGGAGCCGGTCCCAGCTCCGTAGGCCGCGGCTCGCAGCGTCGCGATCCTCTCTCGTCGTTTGGCTGTTGAGACCGCCGTGGCTGCTGTAGCCGGCGTTGGTAGTGTAGCCGGTAGCCGGTGGTGTCCTGTGTCGAGCGGTAGCGGCAGAGGGCTCGCCCTATTGCCGGCCGTTCTGTAGGTGTAGCGGAACTGTCGTCGGACGCCCGCCCCTGTCCGTCAGTCCCTTTGTGTGGAGTTGTCGGCACTCCGGTCCCGTCGAGCGACCGACTAGTTCAGCGTGGTGTGTCTGTGTGCATATCAAATTTAGCCGGCTGGCTGTTAGAAATCGGGCAGCGGAACCCACCAGTCGCACTTTCCTCGAGAAATGACAATAGTTGTCCGCGTGGGGTTCTAGTCGCCAGGCTTCGCGAGTTGTTTTCGTCGTTTTATGCGTGATACTTTGCTGTCATAATTGTCACCACACACAATACCTGGGTTACTAGACTGGTATATGTGTACTTTGGACTAAAGTGATAATACATGTCTGAGTTGGACTGCTGTTTTCCTTCCAATCCGATTCGAATGTTCGAAGCTAGTTTAAGTGACATGAATTTAGTCCAGTATGAACCGTTCAAACGTTCTAGGTGGAGTGAGTCGGGTCGTCCACACTCTGTTGACTTTCCGATCATTTCGATCACTGTCAGTCATATTATCCTCTCGTGCCAGGGGCGAAGCAGCCTTACTGCTGAATCGTCTTTCAAAGCAAAGCTTCATATTCGGGTGAATCACTTCTGTCACGACAGACGCCGCTACCAACTGGGTCAATGATCAGCCGCTCTGACAGAACCCTGGGGAAGATAAATCGAGACAAAACGTATCTTAACCATACGGTACCGCATAATAAATCCAATGTGGCATGTAACCGTTGTGCTTCCAAAACGAAAGTCAACACATTCATAAAGCCTTGACGTCATTACATTTTCAATATATTAAGTGATCTCCATCTAAACATTTGGCACAACAATAGTAAAATCAACACTGCTGCCGAGGGAGTGGGACATTACAAGACGGTGTTTGTGTCCAAACGGGGGATTCACGGTGCCTGGCGAGCGGTCTGCTGTGTCTCCTCGACTGCCAACAGCGAGACAGGGACACGGTCAGTCGGTCTGCCCCAGTGACCGATGCAGAGAGAGCGCTCGTGAGCAGGACCGAGAGCGGTTGGGTGGATCGGGAGGGCCATCTGTTTGGGAACAGGTCAGGCGGGGTGGGGATCGACACACATACAAACACATACGTCCGCGTCTGCTGGGGACAGCGACGCGGCACACCTACCGACACAACAGCTCTGCACGGCTCTGTCGTCACGCAGGACACAACCAGGCCTCGCGCCGGCGCAGAGTGCCCCGGCAGAGAGAAATAAATAACAGATGGTGTCCGATCACCACCAAAGTCCGCCGTCGCTGACTGGATATGTTATATGTACATTTCTCGTCCCCTCCAACGACAACATTACCACATGACTCCGCGCCATCCGCAACATTGCAATCACCCGTGGAAACGCTATGTTCTAGATCCAACGAGGGCGGCGCGTGGTCCCAGTATAAAACTCAGCGCAGAGCAATCAAAGACACGCGAGAAGAGATTCACATACTACAAGAGAGCAACAGGCAGTGTCCGGCAGTGCCGCACACTGAAAAATTAACAAAGGTTTAGATGTTTGAACACGAGACCATGTGACTTCTGGGACAAGTCTTTTAGTGAACATAAATAAATAATTCCAAAATATTTAGCCATCAGCGCCGTAACCTGCCTCCGACCCCGAAACCGTCGCCTGACACAAACATATTTCTTCGCCCGTCAATCTGGCTACTGGGTGAGCGACAGTTACGACCTCGGCCAGCAACACATACGAAGCAAACATTGAGTATTTTCCGCATTCGCAGTCGCAAACACGGTACTGTGCTTCCCGATAATGGCACAGACCGACACTGAACTGCACTCGGCCTCAAACTCTTAGACGCACTCAGAATTGGCTATGTAGAGTCATCAGCTCATCTCGACACCTAGAGTCGGCTTCTCTGACACCAAGTCAGTTCCGCTCACGACATTCTCGTCCCGACTCGCAGGCGTCGTGTGAGAGATCACGTTATCTAGCTAGCAGCATGAACCATTGTCAGGGGAGGCGGGCTGCAAAGTGTGCTGTCAGCGCTCTTTCACAACGCCAGGCTCGACAGGCATAAGTACGTACTAGCAGACAGATGCGAGAGCTCTTTCCGAGACAGACAGCGATTCCATGAACGGATGAGGTCCGGTGGATCCCATGCCAGATATGGATCCACTGTGTCCTTTTAGCGAAGTCACCTGATTCTTCATGGATGCACGCTCAGTCGACCCTTCATACATATGCCTGTGCCATGCGGTTCCTTGGCAACAGCTGTCTGCTCCAGTCACCGACCAGCTCTCAGCTGTAGTTGCCTATAGTCACCGGCAGTCCTCAGCTTTAGTTGCCCATAGTCACTGACCGATCCTCTGCTTCAGCTGCTTACCGTTACCGGTCTCCCCGGCCGCAGCTGCCTGTCTTTACCAGTCTATCGGTCCTCTGGTGGTCGCCCGTGTCCGCCGATCACCTGCCGCTTACACCAGCCCGGCGGTAGGCTCGGCGGCACTGACCGCCGCTGCCGCCCCCAGAGGAGAGTACGGCGACGCCGAGTCACGCGAGGTGGTGGGGCTGGGCTGTGGTGACAGCGCTGAGGCCCCGGCCGCTCCGGCGGCGGCCGACGCGCCCTGCTCAGCCAGCGCTGCCGGGCTCAGCAGACCGGGCAGGTCGGTCATACCCTCCCGACACCAGAGGCTGCGCATCTCCTGCCGGCGCCGCCGCATCAGGGCCTTGTACTCGGAGATGCGCAGCTTCTTGCCGTCGACGATGCAGGTGCGTTTGGGTCGCGGCCGGTACCGGTACTCGGGGTGCTCCTCCATGTGCTGTTTGCTCAGACGGGACTGCTCTTCGTAGTAGGGCTGCTTCTGTTCGTTGGTCATCGCCTTCCACCGAGCACCTGGTGGCCAAACGGAGAAACTGAGCTTCACCGAGATCACACCAGGGATGCGCATAAAGAGTCGAAACCGAGGCCAATCGGATCCCAAATTTCCCATGATTTTAGGACTAAAGTACGTATCGCTAAAGTACGTAGGACAAAAGTACGTATGCAAATGTTCGTACGCAAATATACGTAGGCGATAAAGTTCGTATGCCAAAAGTACGTACGCAAATGTTCGTACGCAAAAGTACGTATGCAAAAGTACGTAGTGCATAAAGTACGTATGTCAAAAGTACGTACGCAAATGTTCGTACGCAAAAGTACGTATGAAAAAGTACGTAGTGCATAAAGTACGTATGCCAAAAGTACGTACGCAAATGTTCGTACGCAAAAATACGTATGCAAAAGTACGTAGTGTAAAATGTACGTATGCCAAAAGTACGTACGCAAATGTTCGTACGCAAAAGTTCGTATGCAAAAGTACGTAGTGTATAAAGTACGTATGCCAAAAGTACGTACGCAAATGTTCGTATGCAAAAGTACGTATGCAAAAGTACGTAGTGTATAAAGTACGTATGCCAAAAGTACGTACGCAAATGTTCGTACGCAAAAATTCGTATGCAAAAGTACGTATTTAGTGTAAAAAGTACGTATGCCAAAAGTACGTACGGTTCGTATGCCAAAGTACGTAGTGTATAAAGTACGTATGCTAGAACTAGAAGTAGGGTATAGTAGTGTAAGTTGAGCCACTTTTTCTTTATTGCTGTTCTGTTGCCATACTACAGGGAACTCATGATAAATTCATACATATACCAAATAATATAGCTTTGTCCATTTTGCCCATTTACTCATCGATAAATTTTGCTTTGCCTTGTAGCAAATGCTCATTAAATAAAGAATAAGAAAGGTATTACACATTGATCAACTTAACCCAAGGGTGGGGTACGTACTTAATACCCTACGTACATTTGCTATACGTACTTTTGTCCGTGACGTAGGCACTTTTGTCCACACGTAGGGTAGACCGGGGCAAGTCGCCCCGCCGAGGTAAAACGCCTCACCGATGTTTCTCGGAACTGGCAGGGTTCTGGGGAAAGATCCTCTCTTCTGGTAACCCGGCCGGACCCGGGGGGTAATTCCAACCACCGCAGCCCGGGAAGGGGCGTTTTCGCCCCCCCCCCCCTATCTAACTCCGTAAATAAGGGAGCTACGCAAACAAAAGCAATACCAAACGAAAGGTCCTTACGAGACGATTCTAAAGCACCCAAATTTTTTTACCTCAGGTCAATTTCCAAGGTCAGAGGTCAAGGTCAAAGGCAAAAACCGGCCACATGTGTAGTGATCTCAAAGTGAGCGTTCTAGAGGACGGCAGGATGCAAGGATGCATAAAACCGGCAAAATTGGGTGTCAAACGAAAGAAGAGAATCTGAGAACTCCGAAAATGTACTCAACATCAAAGGTCAAGGTCAAGGTCATGCTCAAAATTGACCTCAAACTTTGCACTTTTTCGTACATCTTGCGTGTCAACTTCCAAGATGTTTTGAAATGTTTTGAGGCTTATCAGGTCCCTATTTGTGGTTCATCTTACGATACAAGGCTGCTCAAAGGTCAAGGTCACAGAAGAGAGTCCTTGCTAGAGGCTATTTCACTGATTTAAGGTAGTAATAATAAATAAGACAATTTTGCCATCCGGGGGCTCTAAATAAAGGCTTAGAGGAAAATAGATGCCAGATTCGTGATCAGCGGGTACGAATCCATCATAAACGACTTTTGATGTGTCAAGGTCAACCAAAGGTCATTCGAGGTCACATGAGGTCAACATAAAACTTGCCCTTTTCCAAACAAAATATATATCGTTCGACGCGGCTTGACAAGGCAAATGCGATGGTACCACTGCCGTAGCTCGTAGCTACGTAGCTCTAGGACCATTTTTGTCGAAGTTATTTGCGAAAAACTAAAACCACAGCTTGGGGTCGTTGACCTGACCTCTGAGTTCTGACCTCAGGTCACTAAAACTAATTTTGTATTTTTCTCTAGGTCAAACGCTACACATCCGTGCTCGTAATTTGTCTTTATCTCTAAAACTATTTTTAGCAGCTATTTGAAGTTCGCGTCTGTGACACCGAAGTTTGCCGTGCAGGGGTCTAGAAAAATCGACTTTGTGACGTCATCAATGTGGCTAGGTCCAATTTCTTTTTCTTCAGAAGATGTCAAATTGATGGGAGAAAAGGTACTGAAAGTTTCGCTTTCCTATCCTATCCCTAAGCGTTCGGGAGCTATCGCAAATATTTGCCGGGGGGGGGGGGGGCGAAAAACGCCCCCCGGGCCCGCGAGGGTCTAGTGTATGGGGCCTCTTGCCTCAGGCCGTGGGGCGTTTTGCCCTGGGGTTGGGGGAAAATGCCCCATTTGCAGTTGCTTCATAAAGCACTTCCTAGCTGGGAGTCCGATCATAAGTGAATGAATTTGAAGGGTGGAATTTAAAGTAAAATGTCCAAAGAACACATTGAGCACAAATTTGG